TTGATCTTATTGTGCTAATGATTTTATTAATAAATGAAATGAAATGAAAGCTTTTTATAAACATATCCCTTTATTTAAAGATATTTCATTAAAAACTCATACATAGATTGCTTAACATCTAGAAATTAAACGAAATGCCAATTTTCGGCGGACTCATCTACAGTCGCGAAAATATAAATAGGGAATAGACATTTTAGCATACAAATTCACGATAATACACAAAATTTAAACATAGAAAGTTAATTATTACATCTTCTTGCGTGCTTTCAATTACATGCGGTTATTGGCAAATTGGAAAAATTCCGCTTCATCGCCGCCATTCTCATTGATGAACTTTTCTGAAAAAAATTTAATACACTTTTAATTGAATTTTAAACTAAGAAAGGATAAGGAGAACTCATCATTTGAAGACTCAAATGCTCCACCGATTAGTGCAGCGCGTCCTGGATTGGATTTTTTATTACCGCGTCGGTTTTATTTAATTTTTTCTTTTAATAATATATTTTTAAAAAACGTAAACACGTCACTTACGATTGAAAAAATGTTATATTTACTACTTCATGTCGTTGGCATTTGCATTTCATTTATAAGTTTAAGTTATTTATAAACATTCGCTCTCAAAACTTATTAAAGGTTTATTTGAAAAAACTTTTAATAAGTTTAATATTAAAAATGCTTATTATAGCAAATTTACTTTAAGTTATTTTTAAAAACATTTACTGAAATGCTTGTTGGGATGTGTCCCATTCTCACACCACTAATGGGATTAACGATTGACTGTACTATACTGCCAGTACCATCAATAGAAATATTACACGAATCGCGACATAATTTATTAAACCTTTTGTATNTTACTTTAAGTTATTTTTAAAAACATTTACTGAAATGCTTGTTGGGATGTGTCCCATTCTCACACCACTAATGGGATTAACGATTGACTGTACTATACTGCCAGTACCATCAATAGAAATATTACACGAATCGCGACATAATTTATTAAACCTTTTGTAGCAATGTAACTGCTCGGGTGTGCTATACGCTACAAAAAACGGTTCACGTTGCACATCATGAATAAATTTCGGGTATTCAGGATCATGACGCATTCTCTCGATAGTTAGTACCACGTCTTGATTATCCTCGGGCTTTACACCATATTTCTGTTGCAAGTAATCGCTTTTGCACTGCCGTATAACGCTCAATTTGGGAAGATGTGCTGGTAGACGAGTACATGTCGATGCGTAGGAAGCAGCTTCACGTTTGCGGTAATTCCCAGCACCTTCATTGAAGGCTGCTTCTCCAATTTTCAAACGTTTCAAATGTCGCGTAGGCCTTCGTACGTCTTCGTGTTCTGCTAATTTTAAAAAAGTATCATGGGTTCGTACGCGAAGAGTACATGGAAATTTTTCAGGCTTCTTGTCCATATAAGCTCTGAATATGTTTCCGCAACTTTTGCTTTTACAATTTCCCAATACCGTCAAATGGTGAATGCTACTTTCTTGCTCGTACAATTTAGCATTTTTGAATACAAAAGCACAAGGGATCTGTGTGAGAGCAAAAAATGCCTCTGCTAGTGTATCTGTCCAACCACCTCGGCGAAGAATTGAATAATTTCTATTTCCGTACTGCACTCGCTCAGCTTCACGAAGTTCATTCCATAAATTTTCCGATACTTGCAAGTGATAAGTCTCCAATCCATCAGCTTCCCAATCGCTCAATTCTTCAACAGTATTTGTTATAGCGCTATTACTTCGCGAGTCGTTGAATGAAGCAAACGCAACATCGCCACTCAACGATACCTCGAGCGATATGTTTTCCAAGTCTCTAGCTATAGATAATATTTTTCAAGAATGATAGAATACAAGATTGCGCCGATCAGAGAGGATTTTTGAGAATAACTTTTGTGTGACGTCACACTGGTGCAATTGCGAGAGAGAAATGCCAAAACG